ATGTAGCTGCCACTCCTCATCAAAGAAGCTCCTCTTTACAGCAGTTGCAGACACAGAAAAACCACAGCTGGACACAAGGCAGATATTAACAGATCACAGGGAGCTCGGCCCCAATGGATGCCCTGCAACTCCTGTATCTATGGCTCAGGGAACATTGTGGAGGAGGAGGTGTAAGGTTCCAAGAGACAGAATACCAGGAAGTCTGCTGCGACGTGGTCTCCTAGAAAGTTTATTTTATTAATAATGTACTAAGCATATTAAAAATATACTGAGCAGATACCTAAAGCAAGGCTTCATGCTGGATACTGCAATACACATAAGGTCAGTAAGGCAAAGACAAAAATGATTTCTTTGGCTGAAGGGCAGACTAGTTATTCTGAAATAATTTTCACTGAAATAGATGTAGGCTCCAGACGAGTTATAATATATATTCATGAATTGTTCAAATGCCCAAAAATGTAACAAAATAGTCAGGGAACAGACTCATCAACTGAAAAAAATTAGTATGCAAAGGAATGGATTTTGTTTTGGCATTTTGCAATCTTTCATTAGACTTTGTCTCAGTTGCCCCTCCTCCTATATTTCCTCCCCTCCTGATCCCCTTTAGCTCTTCCCTTCCCCATTTCTGCTTTCATGCCACACATATTTCACTACATTCTTGTCCTTGCCCCTCCCTCAAGATCTCTTCTTTCCCTTTCATGTCCCTATTCAAGATTGTCACGTACACACACACACACACACACACACACACACACACACACACACGCACAGAGAGAGAGAGAGAGAGAAAGAGAGAGAGAGAGAGAGAGAGAGAGAGAGAGAGAGAGAGAGATTCAAATCTAGGTTCTGAATATGAAAGAAATACAGTCATGAGTTATTTTTCATTTTAAATCTGCTTCTATTTCATTTTTATGACAGAATAAAATCCATGGGTTCTATCTTTGTTTTGTCTATGCAGCTGCTGATTTAATTTATTGTGAATAGTATGGCAAGAAGCATGGCTGTGAAAGTATCTCTACAGAATATTTAGTGTCCTCTAACTGACAGTGGCAGATCAGATGGTCGGTCTTTTCAAGTTGTTGATTCCCACAGTGGTTGAACCAGTTACACGCCCTCCAACAGTGTGTAAGGTTTCCTACTCCCATTCACTCTCAAGCCTTTGCTGTAGCTTGTTTCTTGATGTTAACCATTCTGACTGGGATGAGGTGGAATCCCAAAATACTTTTAATTTCATTTCTCCTATTATTTAGGACATTTTTCTTTTAAAAATAGTTTGATTACATTTATTTGTGTGTGTGATCGTGGGGCATGTGTGTCACAGATGTGTGTGGCATTCAGAGAACAATTTGCAGAAGTTAGTTCTATCCATCATGTAGGTTCCAGGGATAGAATCCAGGCCGGATGTTTATGTTTCTTTTTTTGAGAGTTGTCAATTCAGCGCATCGGCCCATTTATTGATTGGATGATTTGAAATTTTTGTACTTAATTTTTAAAAATACTCTAGATATACTTCCTTGGTCTGAAGTATAGGTGGCAAAGCACCCCCATCATCTTGTAGTCTCTCTTTATTCTGGTGACTTCCTTTTTCTGTGTAATAGTCTTTTAATATCAGGTAATTCCATCTGCTGATTGCTGGATTATTTCCCGTGCTATTGGAGTTCTTTTCAGAAAGTGTTCCGCCATGTTTTCTTCAGCAGTTTCAAAGTGTTAGGATTTACATTTAAGTCTTTGGTCCAGTTTGAATTTCTTTTGGAATGGGTTGAAAAGAGTAATCATCAATATCACTCAGCCACAAACTTTGGTAACTACTATAGTAACCTGCCAGCAAGATCTACTGGGGTAACAATGGCACAAATGGATGCTAATTAGGGGTGAGGCTTCTAGTTGGGCACCACCTGGATTTCATCATGGTTGATGACATAAATGAATGATGTCAGAAAAAACTGGTATTTACAATCATGTTTTGGTGGGTAATCAATCGTGTTGGCAATC